GCAGGAGCTGCGAGAATAGTTATAACCCCGGACGTATTTTCCCCGTTCCTGCGGTGGTAGCGGCAGTGTGTAAAATGTGTGTGCAGGAATAATTAGTATCACCCCATGTCATAAGTAACCTAGTGGCAATGGGAGTTTCCCCCTGGCTTCAGTCGGTGCTGGAGGTACTCAGGTGGTACTCAGGTCAAGGGACTGCCGTGCTCTTCTGGCAGAGTAGTATCCGTTTCTGGCACCGATTACATCCCCTGTCTACTCAGCAACACTGTTTTCAGCCAGTTACTACATCATTAGCTGGTTCTCGCGTAAGAAGTCTCAACAGGATTGCAGCAAAATTGCATATTGTTTAACAAAACAGGGTGGGATTGCTGTTAGATTATTAACAGTGACTTTTTGCTATTTGCTTAAAAGAAAGCAGCGTTTTCCCAGCTTACAAAGAATTCTATAAAAGGATACTGTTGAAATAGTTGTTTGTCCTGCTCTCTTTGGTGCTGGATCGATGCATTTTCCTGGGACAGTAGACCCAGACAGCCCAGAAAAATGCACACAGTGTTCCTTGGGTTTGCTTTTCTTTGTGTATTTCAAATATTTATGTATCTGACTATCTTAACATATTATTATTTAGGACTGAGAAAAGAATTTTGGCTTTCCTAAGTGGGTTTTTTGGTAGCCAGTGGCACTATATGCTGAGATGCGAAGGCATTTGTAGGGAACCAACTGTTCCCATACCATGTTAAACACCCAGCGCCACGAGTGGAAGTTGCATGCCTGTCATCTACTTCTGCTTCGTATATGGTCAGGGAAAAATTAGACTTCAGGAAAGGAGTTTCCAGTAGCTCTGTGTCAGGTGATGGAGGGTTTCTTCTCAACCACATGTTAAGTTTCCCTCCTCTCTGCTACATTTCCTGCTTCTGTCACAGTTAGATGCCTGTGGGAGATAGGGATTGAATAATTTCAGTTTTGTGTTATTTTTTTGCTGTTCAAGTATCTCCATTGTGTGCTCGCAGCCCAGAAGGTCAGTCGTATCGTGGGCCACATCCAAAGGAGCATGCCCAGCAGGTCGAGGGAGGTGATTCTGCACCTCTACTCTGCTCTGGCGAGACCCTACCTGGAGTACTGCATCCAGCTATGGAGTCCTCAGTGCAGGAAAGATACAGACCTGTTAGAGAGGGTCCAGAGGAAGGCCATAAAAATGATCAGAGGAATGGAACACCTCTCTTGTGAGGAAAGGATGAGTGAGTTGGTGGTGTTCAGCCTGGAGAAAAGAAGACTCCAGGGAGACCTTAGGAGGGGCCTGTAAGAAAGATGGGAGAGACTTTTTAGCAGGGCATGTTGAAACAGGACGAGATGTACTGTTTTTAAACTAAAAGAGGGGAGATTCAGGCTGCACGTGAGGAAGAAATTTTTTTACAGTGAGGGTGGTAAAACACTACTGGCACAGGTTGCCCAAGGAGGTGGTAGATGCCCCATCCCTGGAGACATTAAACGCCAGGCTGAGTGTGTTTCTGGGCAACCTCATCTGGGCAACCCCATTGCAGGGGGGTTGGACTAGATGACCTTTGAAGGTCCCTTCCAACCCGAACTGTTCTATGTTTGTATGATTATTTGGAGATCTGATATCTTTGGTGTCTCTTTC